TATTCTAATTTGTTGAGATAGTGAGTTGGTGGGTTTTTGTTAAATGTGAGCCAAAATCATCACAATTAAAAGAACCAAAGACTTAAACTACTTCAGTCTGTGTGCATTGAATTTATTTTTTTATTTAGACATTTAGCAGACGCTTTTATCCAAAGCGACTTACAAATGTATTTAATACATGAGTTTCACAATTTGAGTTGAATTACTGAAATAAATGAACTTTTCCACGACCTTCTAATTTATTGAGATGCACCTGTATTGTAATTCAAAATGTAATAACCTTTTACTTTTCAACTGACCAAGCCCTCTTATTTTTTTAACTCCTCCCCCAATCAGCTGTCCAATAGAGACCTCTTTTGATTATCCAATCATTTCCAGATAAATAGAATCGCATCCCACACTATATTTCTTGTTGAATATTCTGTTGCTCTCTGATATATGTCACATTACTCGTGTAAAATGAGATACTTTGCATTAAGTTAATTCTTTGATTGAAAGCCCGACTAGATCCGGATTTAAGGTGTTAGTTAACGGTTAGGTGTTTTGTTCTTCAGATCGGCTCTCACATCAGGAAGCAGGTGACAGAGCTGGGCTACAGCTGCACTGGTCTGGTCAGTAAAGCAGGAGCGCTGCAGTGCAGTCCAAACGACTCCTACACCAAGAAAGAGCTCATCGACAGCGCTCGGAAAGTCTCCGAGAAGGTTCACAGTAGATCTTCTCTTACTGGACTTATGGATGTCATTTCAGTCTTGATGGGACTCCTAATATCTGTATTCTCTCTCAGGTGTCTCACGTGTTGGCGGCTCTTCAGGCGGGCAATCGTGGCACTCAGGCCTGCATTACTGCTGCCAGTGCTGTTTCTGGCATCATCGCTGATCTGGACACCACCATCATGTTTGCCACCGCAGGCACTCTCAACCGAGAGAACGCCGAGACGTTTGCAGACCACAGGTACTCCTTACACCAGTGCCCAAACTGCCCAGTGGACATTTATGTGATCATTTAAATAAGGTTTTTGAAGGGTCACGAAACACAACTATTGTTCCCACCTCAGATTTGAAGGCTCAAATTATGGATGTGGAATGATGGGAAACAAACCAAGCTCTACTTTTTAAGATACAGGGATGCTTGAATGCAACAATTTGCAAATCAGCGCAGATGCCAGGGATGTTTTGTTTAATGAAACCATTAAGGAACCAGAATCATTCACTTCCTAATCTCTCGGTTGACAAACTTTGAAGTTAGCTTGAAAAAGCCTGGCCTAAAAGTATGAAACCGTTTTAAAAGCTTGAGGTTTGAAGATTTTATTGTCAGATTGACAGAAAGAAAGTCATATGAAGACAGGAAAACAAATCAAATTTCAATCAGACGATATTAGACCACTTCAAACCCCATTGACTCACAAGAAACCATATCAAACCAGTTCAGTCCCAAGTGAACCTTTTCAGACCCAATTAAACCTCAAAAGAAACAATCAAACCGCTTTTCTAGGCATTGCTAGATTAGTTTTAGCTAAATGTCTAGCATGTTTTAGCCCTTTGCTAACATGTTTAACCACATTGTCAATTTAAGTAAAAAAAATCCTCACTCATTACTTTATTATTAGAAGTAATCTGATAACATGATGCACTTTACTTATAAAGCATTACAAAAAATCTTAGTAACAGAAAAGTGTCTTTCCTTTTATGTAATCTTTGTCGCCCCCTGTATGTGTTTGTTTATCCGTTAGTGTTAATATGTTTCACCATTAGCGGATTGTGACGTTAATAGTTTTGTGTTTCCTGTGGTTTGTCAGAGAGCACATCCTGAAGACGGCTAAAGTTCTGGTGGAGGACACTAAGCTGCTGGTGTCTGGAGCAGGAGCGAGTCAAGAGAAACTGGCTCAGGCTGCGCAGTCGTCTGTTAACACCATCACTAAACTGGCTGATGTGGTCAAACTGGGAGCGGCCAGTCTGGGCGCTGAAGACCCTGAGACACAAGTACAGACACCCGCTTCCTGTCCTGTCCGCTTTCAAACAGAAAACACAGTTGACCTGCTGTCAGAACGTGTGTGTGTGTGTGTGTGTGTGTACGTGTGTGTGCGCGTGCGTGCATGCGTTAGTGTGAGTTGTGAGTGTGTGTACGTGAGTGTGTGTGTGTGTACGTGTGTATGTGAGTGAGTGTGAGTGTGTACGTGTGCGTGCGTGAGTGTGTACATGTGTGCGTGCATGCGTTAGTGTGAGTGTGTGTGTGTGCGTGTCTGTGTGTGCGTGTCTGTGTGTGTGTGTGTGTGTGTCTGTGTCTGTGTGTGTGCACGAAGGCTGCGGCCGGCAAACCTCACGATGATCCCGCCATGTTACAGCTCAAGAACTCTGCTAAGGTAAAGACACACAAAAGCACAGGACCATCTCATTCATCCACACACACAAACACTCCAGTTAGTCCTCAGTCTGTGTCCACCTGAGGCCTTTAATAACTGATCTCAGTCAAAATGACTTAAACAGACAATCTGATTATTGTGGGCTGCCAGAAAATATTAGGTGACCTGAAATCAGGAGTCAGTCCGTTTGAAGAACTGCTAATGATTTACATTCAGATTAGTGGTGCTATTGTTAACTAAAACTAAAGCTAAAACTATAAAAAACTAATTGAAAATTAAACAATGTTTTCAGTAATTGAAATAAAGCTGAAATAAAAAATATATATATTAAATTAAAAATTTAAACTTAAAATTAGAAATGTTGCCTTAGCATCCAAGTGAAATAAGTTTAAATGTCAAAATCATGTAACAGAATTACTAAAATTTAAACTAAAATTATTATTACTATTATTAATGTTGTTATTATTATTATTTTATTATCACAGCATACAGATGACCAGTATTGGCCATTGTTGGGATTTTTTAAAATTAATTGGCTGATATCCGAATGAAATATCAGACTTGACAGACATTTTCTATGCCAGGCTTCAGGCAAAGCTGTTTAGATTTGTAAAATGATCAGCATTTCTTTATTTGTACATTATATTATTATAAGGGATTATACAGTTCTTGCTTGATTGAGTAACTTGAAGCACAGTCTTCATAGTCATAATGCATAAGTGTGTCGAGAGTTTTCATGTGTGATGTTTCTGTGGGGTCAGGTGATGGTGACGAATGTGACGTCTCTACTGAAGACGGTGAAGGCCGTGGAGGACGAGGCCACTAAAGGCACACGAGCACTAGAGGCCACCATAGAGCACATCAAACAAGAGCTGGCTGTAAGAGACACGCTCCCACTGAACTGTGCTGAATGAAGAAGAGCAGGTGAAAAACCCTTGTGTTGATCACATGTTTTGCTGGTGTTCAGGTGTTCAGCAGTCCAGATCCTCCTCCAAAGACCGCCACTCCAGAGGAGTTCATCCGCATGACCAAAGGCATCACGCTGGCCACGGCGAAAGCAGTGGCTGCTGGGAACTCCTGCCGTCAAGAGGATGTGATCGCAACTGCTAACCTGAGCAAATTGCTGACAGTACAATACTGGACAATGATGTAATCTGCAGAATTTACACTTCAATTATGAGACTATGGTATGAATAAATTCAACTGTATAACAGTTTCGCTGCGATTCATGTTAGAATTAAAGAACATTAAACATAATACATATTAACTTTGCACTTATCTGTACATAGTAAATGCACTTATTTTTAAGCGTTTTGTTGACATTGTATCTAAAACGTGATTTAGCCAAAAAAAAACGAGAGAAAGGTATTGTAATAATGTAAATTGTGACAAATAATGTGTTTTTCGAACCACCAAGCATTAGAGCATGTTCTAGTACACCCCACACACACACACATTCCTTTAGAGCTCCTTTAGGGGGTCATTAGAGTTAAAGCTGTGTGAAATGACTGACGCAGCCTTTGGTCCTGTGATCTTAGGGGCACGCTGAAATGTCCCATATTTCACAAACTCACAGTATGTTTGTCACTCAATGGGTCAGTGACTGAAATATTTGTCTAAAATATGTTAAAGGGTAGTTAAAATATGATAAAACATTAGATGTAGTTTTTTTTATTGGTAAAAGTACATAAGGGATTTTGAGGATGTAACAAAGTAACGCTCAGATCATTACTATGCAGGTCTGAGAAATGCATTTCAGTGCTTTCCTTCATTTATTTTCTGTTTTCTCTGTGTGTGTTTGTGGGTGGGTTCGCCGATAGCCAGTGAGTTAAAGGTGACTGATTGTGCATGTGAATGTGTGTGCTGAATTGCACAACCTCTTAACCAAATAGTCTAAAAAGAGAAACTAGTAGAAAGAATGTCCAGTACAGAGTGTGGATGGAGGTTTGGAATTTAGAAAGGAATCTAAAAATAAAAATAATAAAAATAAAAATAATTTCCATATCATTTGAGTTTAGTGACTTTACTATTTTCCATGTTTTTTAAATAACGGTAATGTAGAATGAGTGCTCAGACTTTGACTTCTAGTGTATGTGTGTTTCTGTTAAGCTAAAGTGAAACTCATTTTTCTGCTGTGGTGTTCAGCAAGCGGTGTTCCACCCGGAGGTGAAGCGAGACGTTCAGGCTCGAGCGCTGCGCTTCGGCTCGGGGTGCGCCATGTAGTTTTTTTTATTGGTAAAAGTACATAAGGGATTTTGAGGATGTAACAAAGTAACGCTCAGATCATTACTATGCAGGTCTGAGAAATGCATTTCAGTGCTTTCCTTCATTTATTTTCTGTTTTCTGTGTGTGTGTGGGGGGGTGGGTTCGCCGATAGCCGGTGAGTTAAAGGTGACTGATTGTGCATGTGAATGTGTGTGCTGAATTGCACAACCTCTTAACATGACACATAAATTACAGAATATAGTGTGTGCTGCAGTGCTTCTCAACTGGTGGGTTGCAGATCTATATTTATTTCCATTTCAGTCTTTTTTTTATTTTGCCATTTTGACTTTGACTTATGATTTTGAAACTTCCTTTTTAAATGTTTCATGTGAATTTTGTCATGCATCATCTATAGACTCTCGTGACAAAAAAAAAAGTTTAACAGAATTCAGATTTGCCAGATCATTTTACAGATGTTAGACAGTTTGTCTTAGTGACAAATCTTCTAAAAATCCACCAGCCAACAAAACTTTGTATAAAACTGGACATTTTGACATGTACACCGTATTTTGTGAAATTCTGCCCATAGGTGGCCCATTACACACACACACAAAAAAGAAAAAATCTGCAACCATAAGATTGAGGAAACAGAAATTTAACACAAATCCTGATAAATTGTTATTTTTGCAGATCAGTAGTTGCACACTTTGTCTTTTTTCTTGAAGTAAAACCACTTGAGAATCACTGGTAAAATATATTAATGTAGTAACTTGTGTGATTTCATTATCATGGTCATTTTCATGGTGACATTCGGATGCATTATAAGACCTTTTAAATATAAAATATTAATAGCATCTTCATTAGTAAAAATGCTTTGTTACAGGTTCATTTGTCAAAGTTTTCAGAAATACTGAATGAAATGTGAATTGTTTGCAGAAGCATTTAACATTTTGCCATTTGCCATATTTTAGACTTCAGTGTTCATGTATGAGTATTTTCCTTTGGATTGTGCTGCGTTTGTGTGTGTGTGCGTGTGTGTGCGCGCGTGTGTGTGTGTGCGTGTGTGTGCGCACTAATCATGTGAGTTTAAGGTTTTGGGAGGAGGCCAAATCAGTATGGATTGTCAGTTTTGTGTAATGTTCAGAAAGAGACAGGGTTCCCATAGTCACGATTATTAGACATTTGGATTGTGCTGCATTTGTGTGTGCGTGTGTGTGCGCGTGCGTGTGTGTGTGTGTGTGTGTGTGCGCACTAATCATGTGAGTTTAAGGTTTTGGGAGGAGGCCAAATCAGTATGGATTGTCAGTTTTGTGTAATATTCAGAAAGAGACAGGGTTCCCATAGTCACGATTATTAGACTGTGCCAACATCCTGCTAACTATGGCAAAAAAAATGTTAAATTAAAAATGTCATAAACCTTGAAATGGAAACACCTTCAAACCACAAAATGTAGTTTTACTCTGCTCTTAAATATTTTCTGTATATTTCTTTGAATGTTTGACTGGAATAAAACCAGTCTGAAACATGAGTCTGTCGGTTGAGCGTCGTATTGGACACATTAGTAATCTATTGATCGTTTAGATCTATTCATTCCAAATATAGTCACCTGACATTTAAAGGGGTCATATGATGCGATTTCAATTTTTCCTTTCTCTTTGGAGTGTTACAAGCTCTTGACGCATAAAGAAGATCTGTAAAGTTGCAAAGACTAAAGTCTCAAATCCAAAGAGATATTCTTTATAAAAGTTAAGAGTCAGCCACGCCTACCTAAAACGGCTCGAAAATAATGTGTTTTTTGAACCTTAAACCGCATAAACACATTTCATTACACCAAATACACAAAATTATGTTCTTTTTAGCAGCATCATATGACCTCTTTAAAGAGAAATGCACCACAGTCTCAAAACAAAAATCATGAACGACTGGAACAGTTAGTGAAATCCGTTGATCAGAACATGCGAACTCTGAAGAGTTAGTTGTGCTTCTGTAGGGTTTATATAGACAGACAGCATATGTTTGTCTGTGGGTGTGTTTCTGGTATTGTCTGTGTCATTCCCAGCATTCCTGCTCATGGCCAAGTCTTTTCATAGCCGTCTGTCTCAAACGAACAGCTCTGCTAATGCCATGCACCTGTTCCACTGTCACCAGCACCACCCTGGAGGACACGCCGAGGACACACACACACACACCTCAGAAATCACTAGATTAGTGTCTTCTAGTTGACCGCATGAGTGTCTAACAGCAATGAGCTGTCTGTGAGGAGTTGAAGATGTCATCAGTGTCAGATTGATTTAACAATCTCTCATTTAGGATGTTTTAATGCTTTCATGTGTTTGAAGTCATGCGGTCTCTATCCACAGATCATTCAGAAACCAAGTCATGACCTTAAACAGCAGCTGGCACACTTCTCCAAACGTGTGGCCGGTTCAGTGACGGAGCTCATACAGGCTGCGGAGGCCATGAAAGGTACGACAGCGACCTGTGTGTCATGTTTCTCAATACACACACACTACACTCACCATCCCAGATTCAGTGGATTATCTTCTGGCTGCAGGGCTCTAGATCTAGGGCTCCTCTCGTACTTCTTGCCCTCTTGTCCTCTCCATCAGCTCAGGTCAAGTATCCGCTTCCAGTTCTGCATCATGAGCAGGGAATCCAAGCAGGATTTATCAGGATAATCCACTGAAAGTGATCTGAGAGCTCGGGGTGATAATACCCAGACCCTGATTTAACACATGATGAGAGACCAGGAGAATTTCTGTGGGGGTCTGTGAGGATTTAATGAAAAAGGATGATTTATACTGTAGGTGCCAATTCACACAAAAAAAGTCTAGGTATCTATTATTTATATGAGTAAAATAACATATTTAATATGATAAGATACTTAGACTTTCTGCTGTTCATTTTTATTGCACATAAAGGAAATTATATTCCTTTATGAATATAAACTACCATTCAAAAGTTTGGGGTCAGTGTGATTTTTTTTTTTTAAAGAAATGTATACTTTTATTCAGCAAGGATGCATTGATCAAAAGTGACAGTAAAAATGTGTATAATGTAAGATTGCTATTTCAAATAAATGTTGTTCTTTTCAACTTTCTATTAAAGAATCCTGATAAATACAATGTATCACCGTTTCAACATGAAAATATTGTGCAGCACAACTGTTTTCAACATTGATAATAATCAGAAATGTTTCTTGAGCAGCAAATCAGCATATTAGAATGATTTCTGAGGATCATGTGACACTGAAGACTGGAGTAATGATGCTGAAAATTCAGCAATAAATTACATTTTAAAATATAGTATAATAAAAACCAGCTATTTTAAATTGTAAAACCATTTCACAAAATTACGGTTTTTACTGTTTTTGGTCAAATAAATGCAGCCTTGTGAGCAGAAGAGACTTCTTTCAAAAACGAATAATCTAATAATCTTACTGACCCCGATCTATCTAATACTAACAATTCAGAACAATAATTTTTTGTTGTTGTTGAATATTTTCCTTAAGCAAATTATTCTCACACCAGTCAGAACCTCAGGATTTATAAAAAGAACCACAGATAATAAAAAAATCCAGATCCAAGCAATGCAGAATGTGCTCAAATCAGAGGAAGAATACAAGGAGGTGGAGGAAGGCCGAGATATAGCATTTTATTACAGGTACACGGCAGAATCCCACACACGAGTTTGATTGGTTACGATGCTTTCTTTAGGTACAGAGTGGGTGGACCCTGAGGACCCGACTGTCATCGCCGAAAATGAGCTGCTGGGAGCCGCAGCTGCCATTGAAGCTGCCGCTAAGAAACTAGAGCAGCTCAAACCCAGAGCCAAACCCAAGGTGAGGAAACATTTACCCACATCCTTCAGGACTCGCACACGCACCAGCAGCTTAACTGACACACTACACTGCCTGACATTTTACATTTAACTTGGAAAATCCCACTCAGTGCTCCTATATTCTGAAGTGGATGTTCCTGATTATTATGTGACATTTGTGTAACTATTCCTGTTTGCATTGCCCAGTTTGGATTTGGATTTAAGGTAACACAAATCACATGAAATATGAATGCAGCATGAATTGACCTCCATCATCATCCTCATCATCTATACTGGAATGAAAAACCATTGTGATGTGTTCATATGCATGTGAAAAACCTTAAGGATTCAGACAGTGATGGAAATGAATTTTGCTCTGTTCTGATCAACAGGAAGCTGATGAGAGTCTAAACTTCGAGGAACAGATTCTGGAAGCAGCCAAATCCATTGCTGCAGCCACCAGCGCTCTGGTCAAAGCTGCATCTGCCGCTCAGAGAGAGCTGGTGGCTCAAGGGAAGGTATGAACGTGCCTCGATGAACATGCTTCATCCAGAATGCCTGGAAATCCTGTACTTTGTTCAGCTTTGCTCAGTCAGTAATGAATTTCTCTCTCTCTGTCAGGTCGGGGCGATCCCAGCAAACGCTGTGGATGATGGACAGTGGTCACAGGGTCTCATTTCTGCTGTACGTCTGTTTCAAAGTCACTGTCACAAGTGGTGCTGGAAGTGCTGATTTCTTGAGCTTTCACCCAGAAATGACAATTCTGTCATCATTTGCTGTCATATCATACCCTCGTATCATTATAAACACAAATGAAGATGTTTTAAAGAATGTTTCAGTTATTTTTGTCCAAAGTCAGTGAAGTCCAAAACATCTTTTGGTCTCTATTGACTTTCACTGTGTGGACAAGATAACTCTGAGACGGTTTCAGAATACTTTCTATTGTGTTATGCAGAACAAAGTCAGTCGAACAGGTTTGAAACCACATGAGGGAGAGTAAATGATGACAGAACGATCATTTTTGGGTGAACTAGTACTTTAACTTTCTCAGTTTCTTCTGATAGATTTAGATGCAGAGGTTTCAGATACCTACACATACATGCATGAAGTAGTTTTTGATGAGGTGGATGTTCAACATATTTTGTCCATGAATTCATTGGCTCTAGGCGCGTATGGTGGCTGCAGCTACCAACAACCTGTGTGAGGCGGCTAACTCTGCTGTTCAGGGTCATGCCAGTGAGGAGAAACTCATTTCTTCAGCCAAACAGGTGGCAGCATCCACCGCTCAGCTGCTGGTGGCCTGTAAGGTCAAGGCTGACCAGGACTCCCAGACCATGAAGAGACTGCAGGTCAGTGTGTGTGTGTGTGTGCGTGTGTGTGTGTGTGTCTGAGTGTGCGTGTGTTTGTTTGTGTGTGTGTGTGTGTGTGTGTGTGTGTGTTTGATAGATTTTGGGGACTTCCATTCAGTAGTTTTTGAGGTACATGTTTTGAAAGCCCCTTGTATTAGGTTGAAAACATGTATGATCGTAATAGTGGAGGTCAAATTGATCCTAATTGGATTTAATACAATTCACTAAAAATCCGTCTATGAAAAAAAGAATCAGATAAAAACAGTAAACCTCTAACATTAATACTCATTTCTCACATATCACAAAAAATGAACATGAAAACACATTTAAAACTGTATTTAACCATTTTGGTTATCACTGTAACTGTGAATATTATAAACAGTATTGTGTTTTTGTTTTGTTTTTTGTACATTTTTAAAAACATTTTAAACCTAAGAAGTGTGGAAAAGCATTTATTTCTGTGTGTTTCTATGCGTTTAAAAAAATTACATATACATACATACTTTTATTGTGGTGCAAGTTTCTTCAGATAAAAATGTATGCCAAATGCATTAACATAAATACCCTCAAAGTGTAGATAAGAAACGTCTCAGGTTACTTATGTAACCATGGTTCCCTGAGTAGGGAACGAGACACTGCGTCCTCTAGGGGTCGCTATGGGGAACGCCTCGTCGTGACCCGTGTCTGAAGCATACATTGAAAAAACACCAACTCGTTGGCCAGCGACAGCCATGACGTCACTACCGGTGCGACTATAGTATAAATAAGCGCCGGGAGCTACACATCATTCACTTCTTCGTCTGAAGCTTGCATCCGCAGCATGGCAAGAAACCTAGAGGACGCAGGGTCTCGTTCCCTACTCAGGGAACAATGGTTACATAAGTAACCTGAGACGTTTTGCAAGTTTCCATTACCTTCTCCCCTTGGGGATCAATAAATACTTAAAATTTTAAACTTGTTATATTTTTTGTATGGTTTAATATGTTTTTGGGCAACTTTAGGGGCTAGTTATCATTTGTGTCACTCAATATAGGCAAGTAGCTTGAAGCCTTGACTGGAAAAAGCCACTGAATATTCCTTCTTTAATGTTTATGTTTGGGTGTATAATATATCAAAACTGGGTCATGCTACATAAAGTAATATACAGTTTAATGGTTTGCATGTTTCATGTCTGTTAAACTCTAGATTCATTTTTCTTGTTTTAACCATATTCTGTTGGAAAGTGTGAGCTGGTATAATCTCACTTGAAGTAATCGCCGCCCAACGAGTTGGTGTTTTTTCAATGTATGCTTCAGACACGGGTCACGACGAGGCGTTCCCCATAGCGACCCCTAGAGGACGCAGTTCGAAGTTCCCATGAAAGGGAACTGACATTACACAATATAGAATTATTTTTTATTTCATTATAATCTATGCAGTTGTCTTTAATCTTGTAGTATGTGGATCAATTTGACCCCAAACATCATAATCATAATTTTGTAATTTCCTAAATGAAAAAAAATTCTAAATTCATATATTTATTATTATTATTTATTTAAGGAGAATATCATAGGTTATCCAATATTTCAGAAAACTCAAAATGGGTCAGATTGGCCCGCATCCTAATATAAGAGTTTTAAAACCATCCTTTCCTCTCATCATTTGCCACTGCAGTGGTCTGACACAAATAAACAATGACTTAGTTGTTGTGTGTCCGCCTCTCAACAAAGCCTTTAAATATTGAGTGACACAGTGAAACCCACTGCACCCCTCCTGCCTCCAGTCAGACAGCTGTCGTCCTGCACAGGGTAAAGGCTGAGGTTTACATTTAAAACCTAATAACCCTGAGACCACCATTATATCTTAAGTCACAATAAACATCATACTGAATTTTCACACATATTAAAACCTGGTTCTGAGCAAATCATAGCATGAACATTCAGACACGCTTATATCTACAGTATCTGATGCCATTTTCTATTTTGTGGACTCTCTTCTAGAGGAATCTCTGGTAAAGGTCCATGTTTAGTTTAGCAGTGTTTTAGCCTTGCAGCAGTGAGATGAATGTAATGCTGGAGCAGGAATAGACACAGTTCCATCAGCTGTCTGATGTGTAATGTGCACTGATGAGTGCTTGTGATAACAGCTGTGGAGGCTGCTGGGAGATTTATTATATCGACTTACAGTTCGAATTGATTTCAATGTACAATTCTGTTTATTATGCTTTGAGACATTAATGACAAAGTTCTGAAAAGCAAGACATTGAACATGGTTGGATAATTTGTCACATGCTGTGAGCAACATTAATTTGCTGTTGAACACACTCCTTTAAATAGGAATGCAAATTCAAAGAAATTTGAGAAATACTGAATCCAGGTATTTTAACACTAACATTAACCAATACAGATCCAGTCATAGTTATTTCAATATTATGTTAATTAAAATCATTCATATGTACCCAATCATAGCAACCAGGGGCGTAGATTACGCGGGGGACGCGGGGGGCGTGTCCCCCCCACTTTTAATATCACGTAAATTCGTCCCCCGCACTTTTTCGGGCAAGTGTGTTCGCATAGAGGTTT